TAAGGGGTGTAATAGGAATGTGAGATGGACGAGTTCCTCTATCCTTAAGTGGATAGTTCGATTTCGAGCCTCAGGAATAAAGAAATATTTGTAGGGAAAGCTTTTCCCTTTAGTGAACTCAAACTACACGAATTCAAATTAGTAATAATGGTTATAAATGAAAGGGCAAGTATTTCTCTCTTTGCTTAACATACTGTTACTAATTTGAATTGCCCGGAAAGACGCTTGTTGGAAGGAAAAAAAGACAATGTTGCTTAGTATACATTTGTTATTGAAATATTTATACAAATAGTCGATCAGATTCAGTATTTATTTTTTGTAACTAATATACATAAATTATATACTAATTAGATACCGTTAATTTATGTTTTTTTTCCTTTTTTCTTTTCTTTTTTTTTGGGTGCAATTTTCTTCTTTTCTATTTCCATGCGACAAAGAGGTATTGAGGGCCTTTTTGCCAAGAAAACTGCATCGCACTAGATATTGGGCCATATCCTATTTTTGGGAGAAATTCAAAAATAGTCAGATTTACAAGTGGTCATTCAAAAATAGCCACAAAAATAAATCTGAACGAAAATACTGTTCAAAATCCGGAAAAATACTCCAGTATGATCCAGTATATTATATTGGAGTTCCAGCATAAGTATACTGGAACTCCAGTATATTATACTGGAGATTGAAGCACCAGTGCTCCAATCTTCTGTATTTCGAGGCCTTAGAACCTACTTTTTATCTCACTTCTATGTGTGTGCATAGTCCGGGCATGTATCCGAAAAGCTATTTTGTGAAAATCTGTGAAAAATGATAAATCTTGCCTTTAAAATGAATTTAAGTTGACTTCGGTTAATATTTTGGGAAAACAAATCCGGACCCGTGATTTGACGGTCCCAGAGGGTCCGTAGGAAAATATGGGACTTGGGCGTATGCCCGAAATCGAATTCCGAGGTCCCAAGCCCGAGAAATAAATTTTTAAAGAAAATTATTTTCTAGAAAATATATGAGTTTTTGGAAATGAAATAGGTTTGAAAGTGATGGTATCAGGCCCGTATTTTGGTTCCAGAGCCCGGTACAGATTTTATATAGTATTTAAATTGAGCCCGTAAAGTTTGGTGAGAAAGGACTTGTAATGACGTGAATCAGACCCTTGGTTGTTAAAAATGGAACTTAAGAGTTCATGAGATATTTCTTTGATCTTGAAGCAAAATTCGTTGTTAAAGATGTTAATTTAGCGATTTGATCGCACGAGTAAGTCCATATGATGTTATTGAGTTAATATGCACATTTGGTTTGGAGTCTCGAGGGCTCGAGTGAGTTTTGTATTGGTTCCGGGGTGTTTTTACACTTAGAAAAATTGCAGGGTCAGAGAAAAGTTGCAGGTCTTTGAAGTTAGGTCTCGCAGTCCGCAGAAAAACCTTTGCGGCCGCGGTGGGGACTTCGCAGCCGAGGAGGGAATCATGCGGTCCGCGGTAGGGCAAGGCTATTCCTTTGCGGCCGCGCTCAATTTCTTGCGGTCAGGGGTGGAGCTCCGCGGCCGCAGTCTTTTTAGTGCGGTCCGCGGAGAGGGTCTGAGAGGGGTATATTTAAACGGACTTTTCAGTTATTTTTCACTTTTCAAAAACCCTAAAACGTAAGAGGTGTTTCAAACATCCTTTCTTCTCCAAAACACTAGTAAGTGATTTCTAACTTATTTCTTTCACTCCTTAACTTCTTTTAACAAGATTTCATCCTAGAATCTGGGGTTTTCATGGTAGAATTGGGAATTTTGGGTAAAACCTAAGACTATTGAAATTTGGGGATTTATACCTCAAATTGAGGTCGGATTCCAAAACCAATTATATACTCGGGCTCGGGGGTGAATGGGTAATCGGGATTTGGTCTTAATTTTGAGTTTGGACCAAGCGGGCCCGAGGTCGATTTTTGACTTTTTGGGGAAAACTTTATAAAACCTATTTTCATGCATTGAAGTTGATTCATTTAGCATTTATTTATACCATTAAGTAAATTGTGGCTAGATAGATACAAGCGATTTGGTGGTGGAAACAAGAGGTAAAGCGGTAGTTGAGGCTGCTTGAATTGTGTTCGTGGCATCGAGGTAAGTGTTTGGTCTAACCTTAGCTTGAGGGATTAGGAGTTGAGTCTTATTTGCTATATGTTAATTGTTGAGTACGACGTATAGGCATGGTGACGAGTATCTATACGTTGGTGTCAAGCATGCCCGTAAGTCTTATACTATAATTAATATGACTCCGTTTGTATTGATTATGCCTTCAAGGTTTGTATTTGAACATTGAAGCTCGTTGGCTCAAGTTGTAAAATGATTTGTCGAAGTATAATTGGCAATTGAACATTTTAGAGCATTGACTCAAGTTGTGAATTGAGTTGCGAAGTAAATGTGAAAAAGAAAAGAAAAGAGGGGATTATGATATTGTCTCCCTTGCCGGGATGTTATTGTTTTAAAGTTATCTCCCTTGCCGGGACATTATTGTTTTGATATTGTTTCTCTTGCCGGGATTTGATTGTTGTACTATTGTTCCCTTGCCGGGATTTCATTATGATTTTATTTATTTCCTTGCCCTTATTGATTGTGATTGCTGTTTGGGTGAGGAAGAGTGTTAAAGCACGAAGGGTGATGCCGTGCATTATTTTGGTGGGAGAGTGTTAAAGCACGAAGGGTGATGTTGTGTATGATTTTGTGAGGAAAAGTGTAAAAGCACGAAGGGTGATGCCGTGCCACACGATGTATAATTCCGTGCCGATTATATTAATTTTATGGTGAGGACGAGAGTAAAATCACGAAGGGTGATGCCGTGCAGATTATATTGATTCTTATGGTGAGGACGAGAGTAAAAGCATGAAGAGTGATGTCATGCACTTGTTTGATTTTTGATTCTTGTTGATAATTGAGTTATAGTGTTCCTTATAAATATCTTCTGTCCTTCCGTTATTATTTGATTTTCCCCGCAACATGTTCCCCCTCCCATCCTTAATTGTGCATTTCTGCTTTTATTTTCCACTGTATATGATATAACTGCACAGCTTTATTTGGTAATCTGGTCCTAGCCTCATCACTACTTCGCCGAGGTTAGGCTAGGCACTTACCAGCACATGGAGTCGGTGGTGCTGATACTACACTATGCACTGTGTGCAGATCCCGGTACTGGAGCATACGGATCGTAGCGCTGAGTTGCTACCTTCAATCTAGTCAGGGATTCCGAGGTAGTCCTGCAGGCGTCCGCAGGCCTTGGCGTCTTCTCCTATCCTTTTAGTCTATTTCTTTTACATATTTCAGAGACAACGTTGTAGTAAATCTTTCAGACCTATATTTGTAGTATTCCTAGATAGTCTATGAAGTTGTGACACCAGTCTTGGGTAGTTCATGTATGGATTGATACTGGCATCTTTATTAATATATTACGTTTCAGTCTTTCGCTTTTAATTTCCGCTGTTTATATAATTTTGGCTCATAATTGTTAAAGGATTAAAAATGGAAAAAAGGTAAAATAATTCAAATGGTTGCCTTGCCTAGCTTTCACTAGTAGGCGCCATCACGACTCCCGAGGGTGGAAAATCCGGATCGTGACAAAATGTCTGGTGCAAGCGGAAGTAGGAAGCTTACAATGGATGAAATTATGCAAAAGTGATAGAGTTTGAAGTATGATTGGAACAGTAACATACCAATGTCTAATCTTATGCATAAGTGAGATCAAATAAAGGCTGATTGGGAGAGAATCAGACCACAGTTTTTTGCCGATGAATCATTAAAGATCTGGCTTAACCTTGAACGTTGAAGGTTATTCTACCTCGTTTGACAAGGTTGTCCAGCAGTTTGATTGTTTTAAGTTTCCCATGTAGGACGACTATGCCAAGCTACAAAATAACCTGAAGAGTCTTCCTTCTCTTATGGACGGAGTAATAGTTGAACAAAGTCAGTTGTGTGATAAATTCAACAAATTGAAGATTGATCTCATTGGACTTTGTGGTCTTTTCCCGAGTATCCTATAGTTATCTCCGATTCTGATGATGACGAGATATTTTGAGAAATTGATGAGTACTGTTTTGATGATGGTGATGATGCTTAGTTTTTGTAATTCCTTTTTATGTTTTTATTTTGTGATTTTTTGTTAATATTTTTTATGATTCTTCTTTTTGTTTTGTCAATGTTTTGATGATGGTCGTGTTTTGTTAATGTTTTATGTTGTTATATAAATGAAAATCTTTGTTATATTTTTGTGTATAATTTTTTAAATTTTGAAGGCTGAAGTTAGCTTAGTTGAAGTTACCATATATAAGTTAGAAACTTGAACCTTTTATGTTTAAGTTTTGTCCAGCAGTCTGCAATTTTTGTAATGATTTTTTCCAAACTTCAGAGAGAATATGCTGAAGTTATTTAGTTCATTTTCTATAATTTCAGTCTAAAGATGCTGAAGTTTTTGTTTGTACGTATGTTTCTTTTGTTTGTTGTGCACATATATGTGTGTGTGTATGTGTGTGTGTTAAGGATATGTATTTCACATATAATTTTTTCTCGTTGAAGTCATTGCGTACTTTTTTAAAATACAACCAAACCTGTAAGCCTACGCAACAAAAATGAGTGGTTTGTATTTCAGCAATATATAAAAGAGTCCAAGAGCTTTTTTTTATTCCTACGAAAACAATCACATTTCAAGTATATCATACAATAATGAAAGTATAAATTCAGACCAAGGATTATTGAACGTTGGAGTATTTTTCAGCGTGTTTCTTGGAATATGGATGAGGTGCTGGAGAAGACTAGCAAGTTGTTTTGTTATGCCCAATTTGTTTACATCGACTATATTTGGTAGACTTCAATGGTACTGATTCAGTCGTAGGGATATGCCTCTTCTTTTGTCTTTTTCCTTGTAAAATCTCTATATCGAGAGGTTTTTTGATCTCAGATTCTACATTTTGTGGAATATCCCATGATTTTTGATCTCCCACGGTATTCATATGTCCTTCATATGTTTTGAACTATGTTTCCTTTAATACCATTTTGAGCAGTAATCAGATTTCTGCAAATATCTCTTATTAATAGCAGCAATTGCACGTGGACAGGGCAATTCATCAAGTTGGAATTCCAAGCAGTCACAAGTTCTCTTCTTTAAGTCCACAATGAATTCGATTTTTTCACTATTTATTCTAAACAATATTGAATCAAGGTTGAACACCTAAGAAGGAATAAAAAATAAAGATAAACTACATAAGTGTATTATTGCTTCAAAAAGAAAAAGTACGAAGTTTTTTATATATAAGCAGTAAATCACTACAGCAGATATAAAAAGCTTAAGTGCTTATGCATTAGTTAATTACTTTAGAGAAAACACGCTTAAGTGAATCCTGAAGTTAATAAATATACTCACAAGCATTTTACAAGCCAAGTCCATCTTCTTAGTCATCTCTTCTTCTGCCCATATTGATATTTTGTGAAAAGTTTCATTTGCTTTTTTTCGGCGTTCGTAAAACCACTCTCCCAACTTTTCTTGGATAAAATCTAACATTATTAAAATAGGTATCTCTCTAACTTTTAGTAACATGGAATTCATTGATTCTACCAAGTTTGTTGTCAGCATATCATAACGTCGCCGTGAGAACCACGATCGAGCCCATCTCTCTGGAGGATTTTCCATTATGTAGTTGTATGTTTTCTTGTCAACACTTTTGAGTTGAGACATTAACTGATTAAAATCTTCACATTTGTATGACCTTGCAATGCTTTGAAAAAAATTTATTACTGTGCTTTTGCATGTCTTTGCTTTAAATTTTTCTCAAAGTGATAGAGGCAGATACCATGGCGAGCTTCAGGATAAACTTTTCTAATCCCATTTGCAATCGATTGGTTTCTATCTGACAAGAAAATCAGTTCACGGTGGACTTGAATTGCTTTTCTCATTTCCCCGAAGAACCAAATGTATGCCTCATTGTTTTCTAAATCTGTTACACCAAAAGATAGAGGAAAGAATTGATTGTTTGCATCCTTTGATACAACAATAAATAGAATGCCACGATATTTTGACTTTAAAAATATTGCATCTACTGCAATAACGGGTCTACAGTAGCACCAACCAGTTATTGATGTCGCAGGAGCAAAAAACATGTAAGCAAATCTGTACAGTGAAACACAAAAAAATAAATCATAAGGTGTGAAGTTTTTCAAATAGGAACATTTGAAACTTCAGGCTGATGGTTAGTATTGCTTAACTTACCGATTCTGCTTATCTCTTTTTATGCTTGTGTACGTTCCTGGGTTTCCATGCACCATCATGTGTAGGTATGAAGGAAGAATCTGGTAGTTCTCTTGCGGTGTTCCCCTTATGCAAGAAATAGCTTTTTGAACAGCGCGCCATGCCTTGTGATAACCAATATCAATTCCAAATTTCTTTTTTATTTCATTTTCTACAAAGGCTAGTGTAATCTCTATCGTTTTGTCTCGAACATGTTCTAAAATTTGTTCACTTATAAAATTTGATGTAGTATGCTTCTGATATGATTTTCTTGCATCAATCGAGTATTCATGGTTGTTATGATATTTTATCACCCTGAAAAGTGTGAAATTTTTTATTCTTGTAGCATGTACATTCCAACCACATTTCTCCATGATGCATTTCAACTCGTATCTCTTTGAACATGATCTAACAGTAGTGAATTCAGCCTTTTGGTTTATCTCCAAGCTGCAGAAAAATTTAGTCATGTTTTGCTTGTTCTCAAAAATTGATCCTACTCTTACTTCCTCTGGTAATGCATCATGCCTAAGTATTTTACATGGTGGAGATTTTTTCTTGATTTCTTAGGAGCACTAGAAGTTTCAGCAATTTCTTTAATTGTATCTGATGTTATCGGTATAAATTCCATGTTTTCTTCATCTTCGTTGTTTGAGGGAAAACAAATGGGGATTTGGAGTGAGGGAGCTTTGGAGGTCCTCTGGTGTTAGTTTGGGGTTGAACAGAGGTGGCGCCGCTACCGGAGAAAACAAGGGCGGCGCTAGGGTTTCTCCTTTGAATCAAGATTCGAGACGTTCCAAGGAGTTTTAAGGGAAGGTGATTGGAGATTCGGGGTTGGGTGGCGGAGAGGATTCAGCGGTGTATTTTTGGTGGTGGTTTGCGGTGGCGCCGCCACTAGTGGCTGGTGGAGATAAGGGCGGCTTTAGGGTTTTGTTAGGCTGGGGTGAGAGAGATGAGAGACGAGGGGGTAGGGGTGAGCGTTTGGACAGTTATATATCATAGGGAGCTCAGTTCCGGACCGTCCGATCAAGTGAGATCGACGGTCCTGATTTAAAGGCGTGAAATGGCGTTGTTTGGCTTGAGTGAGGCGATGAGGTAGGGTAAAGGCAGAACTGGGCCGGATTTTTGGGGCTATTTGGATGGGTATTAGGAGAATAAATGATTGGGCTTAGGGTTTTAATTGGATTTGGCCCAATATATTTCCTTCTCCTATTTTCTTTTCAATTCCCTTGTCTTTTCTTAAATTAATTCTTTTCTTTTCCTTTTTCCAAAATTAAATAAAAATCCACATTAAATCCTAGAATTTAATTACCCTAAAAACACCAATTAAAGCTAAATAAAAAATTATCACGATTAATTAAGACAACAAATTAAAGAAAAACTACTAAAATCAAAAATTAACATTAAAAGGTGCAAATTAACTAATTTTTTTTTGTGTTTTTCCTTTTTTATAAAACAACTTAATTAATTAATTAATCCTAAAATGTTAAATTAAACCCTAAATGAAAATGCACAATTTTTTTTTGTATTTTTATGACTTAAACAAAAATTAGACATGCGCAAAAAAAATGCAAACAAAAAGAAAAATTCTACAATAATTTCTAAAATAACAAATAATTAAAAGAAAAAAATCTAATTCTTGGGATTATGTAGGAGCAATTCAGGTGAGGCAAAAATCACGTGCTCACAGCTGCCCCTCATTGCTCGGAGACACGAAGGGTTTTCGGGCAAAGATAAAATGAGCAATCATGAGGGAGTTTTGCCCGTTTGACACTCCATGAGAAATGTTTTTAAAAAGAGTCTGACTGAACCTTGCTTCAAAGGTTGCCTACATATCCTTGGCTATAAAGGAATCAGGTCAGTGTAGTTTTAGAGTTTTGGTAGCTGGAACTACCGGGAGTTGTGATTTTACTGTTTGCTGTTGCTACTGCTTGTTGACTCCCTTATTACACCAAAAGGAAAATCAAAATCTAAGCTAGCTAAATCTATCAACTACGAGTTACAAGATTCTTATCTATAAATCTCTTGAAGCTTGATCTTGAGTCTTGGCTAGGTATTGCTGCAGACTCCGATCTGAATCTTGATGCTCTTTAGCTGTAACTGCTGGTTCATTCTTCAGCTTTAGATCAAGTCGGGACATGCGAAGCTTGCGACTTCAATCATATCTTGAGCAGTCCGCATCCTTCTCTGTTTCAACCTTTGAGTTCACTTCTTTATTTTTTGTTCGTTTTCTTCCTTTCTTTGTTCTGGATTGAGACTCATCTTTTTGGTCATCTCGAATCCTGCGCCTCAAGGTCAAACCTGCTCAGACACCAAAACAGACAAACGAACGAAATTTTTCTGCACCAGTTTTTATTAGGAAAATTTCGTGAGTTATTTGTAACCAAAACCTACATTATTTCTCTATTGAAAGCAATAAAGTAAGGATCGTGTGTCCTTAGGAGGAAAGATTAGGGAATGGATCTCTATGTCTAAAAGCATCAACTCAGGAATTGGAGCCCTAATATTAATAAAAGGCGACTAGGGAATGGAGGCCCTATGTCTAAAAGCATCAACTCAGGGATTGGAGCCCTAATGTTGGTAAAAGGCGACTAAGGAATGGAGGCCTTATGTCTAAATTTCAACTCAGGGATTGGAGCCCTAATGTTGGTAAAAAGGCGACTAGGGAATGGAGGCCATATGTCTAAAAAGCATCAACTCAGGGATTGGAGCCCTAATGTTGGCAAAAGGCGACTAGAGAATGGAGGCCCTATGTCTAAAAAGTATCAACTCAGGGATTGGAGCCCTAATATTGGCAAAAGGTGACTAGGGAATGGAGGCCATATGTCTAAAAAGCATCAACTCAGGGATTGGAGCCCTAATGTTGGCAAAAGGCGACTAGAGAATGGAGGCCCTATGTCTAAAAAGTATCAACTCAGGGATTGGAGCCCTAATATTGGCAAAAGGTGACTAGGGAATGGAGGCCTTATGTCTAAAAAGCATCAACTCAGGGATTGGAGCCCTAATGTTGGCAAAAGGCGACTAGGGAATGGAGGTCCTATGTCTAGAAGCATCAACTCAGGGATTGGAGCCCTAATGTTGGTAAAACAAGACTAGGGAATGGAGGCCCTATGTCTTAATCTCAACTCAGGGATTGGAGCCCTAATGTTGGTAAAAAGACGACTAGGGAATGGAGACCCTATGTCTAAATCTCAACTCAGTGATTAGAGCTCTAATGTTGGCAAAAGGCGACTAGGGAATGGAGACCCTATGTCTAAATCTCAACTCAGTGATTAGAGCTCTAATGTTGGCAAAAGGCGACTAAGGAATGGAGGTCCTATGTCTAAAAACATCAACTCAGGAATTGGAGCCCTAATATTAATAAAAGGCGACTAGGGAATGGAGGCCTTATGTCTAAAAGCATCAACTCAGGGATTGGAGCCCTAATGTTGGTAAAAGGCGACTAAGGAATGGAGGTCCTATGTCTAAAAACATCAACTCAGGAATTGGAGCCCTAATATTAATAAAAGGCGACTAGGGAATGGAGGCCTTATGTCTAAAAGCATCAACTCAGGGATTGGAGCCCTAATGTTGGTAAAAGGCGACTAAGGAATGGAGGCCTTATGTCTAAATTTCAACTCAGGGATTGGAGCCCTAATGTTGGTAAAAAGGCGACTAGGGAATGAAGGCCCTATGTCTAAATCTCAACTCAGAGATTAGAGCCCTAATGTTGGTAAAAAGGCGACTACGGAATGGAGTCCCTATGTCTAAAAAACATCAACTCAGGGATTGGATCCCTAATGTTGGCAAAAGGTGACTAGAGAATGGAGACCCTATGTCTAAAAGCATCAACTCAAGGATTGAAGCCCTAATGTTGGAAAAAAGGCGACTAGGGAATGGAGGCCCTATGTCTAAAATTTCAACTTAGGGATTGGAGCCCTAATGTTGGTAAAAAGGCGACTAGGGAATGGAGACCCTATGTCTAAAATCTCAACTTAGGGATTAGAGCCCTAATGTTGGTAAAAAGGCGACTAGGGAATGGAGACCCTATGTCTAAAATCTCAACTTAGGGATTAGAGCCCTAATGTTGGCAAAAAGGAGTAAAAGATTGAGGTTGGGAATCTAAGCTATCATTTTTTTGGATTTTCTTCTTTTCTTCTCTCTTCTTTTATTATTATTTTTTATTTCAATAAAATGCAGGAAAGAATTTTGGAGGAAAACTTCCCTTCTGGATTGATTGTTACTGCAAAGCTGTTTCTAGCTTTCGCGCAGCTTTTCTTTTGGCTGCACCTGCTTTTGCACGGTTGCCTTGGGCTGCACCTATTTCAATTTTAAACAAAGAACAATTGTTAGTTTGAAACGGTGGTTGGTTTTGTGGCCTTGATTGTTTTGATCACTCGATCTCGGCTCAACTCTTTTGGTGAGAACCT